TTGACAATGAATAATGTGATGTATTAACATATACTCCGTATCTATTTTATACTAGGTGTAAAAATTTGACTGAATTGACGTCTTAATGAGCGTCTTAACGGAAAGGAGTGCCTTTTCACAACTTAATAAGTAAGTCAGTTTTTTAACTGAATGAAAAAATTATGTTTTCAATTAAGTCGAAAGTAAACATGACTTAATGACTGAACGATTAAGCGGTAACAAATTTATACCTACCCGCCTCGTTACCTGCCCCGCTACCCGCCAGACCTGTTTAATTTGGATACGGTTACATGCACCATTACCTGACCCACACAATTATCATATACTCCCTCCGCCCCGCTAAGATTGTGTCACGCCCAGACCGCATCTGAGCGGCGCACAACCGCCGTATGACCAAATGACGTCACTCGCAAGTCAACGTAACTTAGTCACACAAGGCGTCCATGAACATAGTCCATACTCCATACCATACTCAGTAAGTAAACATACATAACAACATCACATATTTGGATTGAACGAATGGCGGAAATATTCAATATTCAATCATGGGCCACACATGGCCAAAACGTAGGCACGCAGGCCCAAAACAAATGTATTTATTACAAAGTATCCATGAGCATAGTTTATAGTTTAAAAACAATAAAGGAAACGCAAACCACGTCTTCCCATAGATCACTTCACCGAGCAAGGTGAGAATAGCAAACTTGAGCTTCAACCTGAAATGGTGGGCCCCCCCGAAGTGGTCAGTACAAGTACCGAGCGAGTATCAGGCTAAATGTAGAATAACTAACGTATTAAGTATAAGACCCAAACATAGGGTGATACATATACATGTAGTCTTTCCCCCCAAGTTATGAAACACATATCAATATATTTATACACTTGGAAAATACCGAACCCGTAGGCAGTGGCGGACCTAGAAAATCAGAGTCACGGGGTCCCTAAACTAATGGAACTCTCATTAATATAAAATTAAAAAAAAAAAGCATAATGTTTCATGGTTAACGTACATCGGCAAAACATTAAGATGATATAAAACAAAAAATTACATGTAAAAGTAATTCTCAAGTCTACAAAAGTACCTCCTAGGTTTCATTTGTTGGAAGTATTCTATAATATATAGGTCCACCAACATGCACATAAAATATATCCTTTTTTGCGATGTAAAACCTATCTTTTTTATTCATGCTAAAAAACTTATTCCCAAAAAATGATTACCACTTACTTTTCACTCATTACTAAACAAATAACACGCTAAACAAAATGCCACATCTTTGGCAATACTGTATTCCAACCATTTATGATCATCAAATCAATTTGAAACAAATCTACGTTTTTTTGCCGTCAATTACTTTAATAGGGAAATCATGATCCCGAAGTTGAAACGACCCTTTTTTGACAATAACTATGGCGTACACTCTCTTGAACATTAGGATGAAATCATTATGTTGTTCATGTAGATTATAGGCCAAACCGCCAAATTAGTTTCTCTTTCAGCAAGTACTATATCCGATTCTTTATTTACTAAAGATGAACATTTGAATTAATATCTTAACTAATTTCGGTACTCCGAATTTCTTTAAATTTGTATACACTACTGAAATATATTTTCATCCTTCATCTTAAAATTTTAAGAAAAATCATAAATACATAAATTTATTTATTTAATCTTAACATTCGAAGAAAATCTTAAAGAATGGACCCAAAGAAAATCATTTGGAGTTTCAAAAAATATAAGGTTCAAGAAAGAAAGACTGACAGGAGGGAGAGTCGAACCCAATACCTCACGTAAAAAAGAACTATAACCATACGCATGCTACCATTACTCCACTACATATGTTTGCTTTCTTAGTCGCATTACATGTTATTTATATATATACATAAATTTTGTAAAATATATGTAATATATATAGGTAAATTTTTCGAAATCCACGGGGTCCCGGGACCCCATGGGACCCTTAGTGGGTCCGCCATTGCCCGTAGGTCATCGTTTATTTGGGAAAACAGTAGTAGTCAATATCCTTGACTAAGAACCCATCCCACCCATATACCTATGAGTGTATAGAACTCCTCCTGGTTGAAATCAATTATCATAAGGACACCACCCGGTCCTAGATCATTAAAATGTAATCTATGAGTTTTGAGGATACACGCCCGATCCTAGGGTACTCCACCCTATATAACCGAGTTTGAGGATACACGCCCGATCCTTGGGTACTCCACTCTATAACCGAGTTTTGAGGATAACCGCCCGATCCTTGGATACTCCACCCTATATAACCGAGTTTTGAGGATAAACGCCCGATCCTTGGGTACTCCACCCTATATAACCGAGTTTTGAGGATAACCGCCCGATCCTTGGGTACTCCACCCTATATAACCGAGTTTTGAGGATAACCGCCCGATCCTTGGGTACTCCACCCTATATAACTGAGTTTTGAGAATACACGCCCGATCCCTGGGTACTCCACCTGACCTATGACTTACCACATATCACACTAGATAGGGTCTATATCATATTATTACTAATGACTAAACCAAGTCTTAGAATTAAATCGATAGATATCAACCTTGACATTTAAATATCATATTCCATGCAATTCCATGCACAATATACACACATAGGGCGTACGGGGTTAACCCCCCTTCGAACCGGGTTCCGGTTCACGTTTTTGGCGAAAACGGAATATGGAGGCAGCAGCTTACCTGACCCCAGGTATGCCCTATACCCTAGGGGTGGGCAAACGGGTCTTGGAACCGCGGTCCGGTCCGGGTAATGGCGGTTCGGGTCCAAAACGGGCCGGTTCCATTTTTTGTTGCCATAAAACGGTTCGGGTAGGTCCGGGTAATTTTTTTTAAGGACCCGGGCCGGTTCCAAAATAAAAAAATACCGGGTACCCGGCCCGGCCCGTTATATATTGTATATTAATTTATTAATAATTTTGTGATAATTGATTTTGAAATAGTTTTGTTTTCCTTTGCTAGAAGTAGAATTTTAAATTGACTTGCAGTAACATCATTTTGCTTTCAAATTATTGATTAAATTTTACATAAATTTCTTGTTATTTTTATTCGTATTGAATTATTCCTTTCTATGGAATTTAATTATTTGTTAAAAATGATTTTGTAATATTTGTTTTTATAATATTGTTCTTAAAGTATATAAACTGTGATTACCACCCCCATGTATGTGTCAACTTTGACTAATACTGAAAATTTGTTCTTAAAAATATATAAATTGTGATTACCACCCTCATGTATGTGTCACCTTAATATGTGATGTTAGACAACATTTTTAAATTCAAATGTTAGAAAATATGTATTTTGGCTATGTTGCTGATTTTTGGAACTTTAATTGTTTGGAACTTATATACATGAAATTATGAAGTATTGGACTTGTCACTTGTGTTACATGTGCACCACTATGTTGTTATTTTGAAACTTGCTAATGTACTATATTATTAATTATCGATTTTTGGAACTTTGTGAGTTTTTACTAATTTTAAGATATGAGAATACAATAAAAAAAAGATATGGGAATAGAAACCATAAAACCCGGACCGGACCGACCCGTTTCAAACGGGCCGGGTAAGGTCCGGTTCCTATTTCGAAAATTGCAATACCCGGACCGGATCGGACCGTACAATGGAACCGGCGGTTCCATTTTATTTTGCATTACCCGCCCCGACCCGGCCCGTGCCCAGCCCTACTATACCCGGCACCGGGTATGTTCGGTGTTTTGGGTCAACGGCCCATTGACCCCCGAAACGTGATCCGTTTGATCCGAAATTTTTATACAACCTATATCATGTCTAAAACAATCAATAAATGCCCATTTTGGCCGTCCAAAACATCATATATGTTTTTATATACATTTTCTACTTTCCACATGCATAATCATGTAGTTTCATTCACCTAAGCCTAATCACCTTGGCTAATCACATGCTTAAACTCTTTTAAACATCATTATGAATACTTATAACATTTATTTAGGTAATCTCATACTTAACCCAAGAGTTATAAGACATTAAGCCATCCACTCACCTTGAATTAGTGCTATGAAGTTCTACCCTTCTCGGTTGAACCCCGACGAAACTCCGGCGATACCTCCGGCGACTCTTTCAACTTCGTGAAAGCTCTTGAATCACCCTTGATAAGTGCCTAAAAATGTTTTATCATCACGAAACCCATATCAATACGAATAACCTCTAAAAGGTTATTTTCCGGCGAACCGGTTTCTTTGGCTTCTAAGTCCGTTCTTGGACTTAGAATCACCTTCCAACCCCTCATTCTACACTTTTAACATGTGGAACTATCCCAAGGGTATTTCATATGATCTATAACTCATAATGAAAATCAAAATATAGGAGAGCTCTTGAAAAGTTGTTCAAGAGCTTCTTACCTTTCTTCCCAAAGTTTTTCTCTACTTTTGCAACTCTTTCTCCTTCCTTGAGTTCCTTGCTCTTTGGAGCTTTCTTCAACAATGGAGATGGAGGTTTTCAGAGCTCCCTTTCTCTCCCTTTGGTGTCTTGGTCGAGGTTGAATAATGTAAAAATGCTCAAAGCTAAGTGAGTGTCGCTAATTTTCATGTTTATAAGAGTGTATACCCGCACGAATAGCTCAACTGGTAAAACGATGAGAAAGTTGGACAAATGATTAAGGATCGAAACCCACAACGACCGTGTGAAGGCCACATCTTCTATGTGCTGGACTTGGCCTATTGTACACACGGGTATAAGGTCTATTACCGTTATGATTGATTGAGTCATCGTGATTTACAACTCTCATGTGCTCTGTCGGATCGGGACGTGAAGGCTCTTGGGATCGGTGATTCTCCCTATTTGGCTTTTTTAATATCGTATTTTTTTTAAAAAGTAATGGTTGATAGAGCGATGATAAACATCTTGTCACTCAAACCCAATATTCTCTCCACCCATACCACCCCTCTCCCTCTATATATACATCAGAGCGATGAATTACGGAGCATGTAAATTCCCAAGCTAGCAGCTCTCAATTAATTAAACCTAACATCAAAGTATTAATTCTTCAGAAACACTTGAAGGTCCGTCTCTAATATGATCGATGCACAGAACAATCAGTCCAGAGATTGATCGGAGATGGCGGGCCAGTCGGAAAGAAGAAGCTGACGGCGGCGGTCTAACTCTCCCGCCAGTTTCGCCTAAATTTCACAGTGAATGTTGCATGTGCGGAGATAAGGGCTTGCCATTTGAGCTTTTCAGATGCAAATCTTGCCTATTCCGATCCCAGCACAGGTACTTAATTAATTAATTATTTAAGAAATTATTCATTAATTAATTACACCCTGTTCTGAAAATGAAGATTTTGGTTCTGCTTTCTCAGTCTTCCGTAGTTATGTTCAACCATTATTCTTAATCGTGATTGTTTAATAATTTAAATCATACAAATTTAAAACGATATGAAAGTATTTGGCAGAGTAATTATGGAAATAAATTTGGTCAATAATAGTGCTTCATCCGACCCATTTGATAACTTTCTCATTCATTCCCCCCCCCCCCCCCAAAAAAAAATTGCTATTTTAAATAATTACGTAATTTATGTTTGTTCTTTATTTATATCTCTCCAAATTAAACATGGGCATCACGATTTTCTATAATCTTACTTTTATTTTCTTATTTGAGACCTATATATTATACTTCAAAGTTTAACGCACCAAACCCCTTCCTGAAATACAAACCTGGCGCATCGGTCCCTGATTTATAAAGTGTGTCAAACCTCTTCTATTATAATTATTCGTAAAAAGGGTCTCACGCATGAATATTTGTTGCATTTTTTAAGTACAAAGGTTATTGAATTTATATTTCACGTGGAAATTTGATGTATTAAACCGTTATACTCCGTATTAAACTTGCTAATGTGAGGGGTAGTATTACATTTTTAAAATTGTTTAAAAGACTAGTCAACTATACTTCTACAGTTCTACCTCAACATTGACCGCTTCATTCAAAAAGCATTTGCAATTATAGCGCCTGATTTATTCATTCAACATCATCTCGAGTCGGAGTGTACAAAAATTCTCTTTGTACTCACTTTTGTACTCATTCCCTATTTTGCCCGTGCACACAGACAATTCGTTAAGAAGAAGGTAGCACTTTTCTCCCAAATGTACAAAAGGGTGTACAATAGTAGGTATAATAAGAAGGACTCGACATTGTACAATGGAGATATAATTTCCATATACAAAATACTTTCATGTTAATAATTTCCATATAAAGGTGATTGTTATCAATTTCGCAAAAGAACGAATACATGCAAAGTTAAACTAGTGTTTCCTTTTAGAAGGCAAAGGGGATCAACTTGCATTAAAATTCCAATTGGGTGAATATCTATAATAAAAAATGTGGGGATTTATGGATATATGTGCAGGTATTGCAGTAATTTATACCCGAAAGCGGAGTCTTATCGGCAATGCAACTGGTGCTTAAGGGATCAAAAGGACGACGACAACTCTTCCCATTCTTCTTCTTCTTTACTCTTACCATCGCCGCCGCATAGAGCCGCCGGGAGCGACGGCGATGAAATAATTACAAAAGAGATCAAGAAGAACGAAAAAGAAAAGTTACCCCGGTCCATTTCACCTCTTCCTCACCACCCACAAAATTTACCAATATGGAGTAATAAAAAAGGTGGTGGGTCAAGCCCAAAGGGGGTGATGAGAAAGGGCCCTCTCATGGCGGCGGAGAAATCACCGCCGCTCAAAACCGCCGGTGCGGCCAGTCTGCGGAGGTCAGCGTCGGATGTTGGGATAGTTAAACATGTGGTGGTTAGAAACAAGGTAAGGAGAAGGTATAAGCTCTTGGAAGAGGTAGCCAGTCGCTAGTCAATAATGTGACTATAATATACTATCGTAGTTAATTAATATTTCGAGTTTTTTCTCCTTGTGATTGTTTCAAAAGCTGATCCTCTTTGAAAGTGAAATTGAAATTTTCCTGATAAGAGATAAAGTGTGTATCTTCAGGCACGCATTTTTCTAAAATGGATGATGTATATATTTAGTAAAATAAATAAATATCCCAAAAGAAATATCTTTTTATATGTTTAATTTGTAATATTTCAATATTATTCAAATTGTTAAAATATTTGTCCCACCCGAGTTTACCAGCAGTCATTGACAATGAAATGAATGAATAGTTATGGAGTTGGCCTTTAGTCTAAAATTTGATATTCCTTATACATTTATATTTTACGGAGTACATGACAACGAAAATATGACTTTTTATTTGAGACAATGTTGGGAGTCGATTTCTTTCCGGCTCAGGTCTCCAACCCTTTTGCTATACTCTCACACACCACCCTAGGCTAGACCACAACACAACTCCAAGCTTCTTCTCTACCACTAAGGTATTCTCTCTCACACTCTCACACAAAGGAAATGGAGAAGAAGAAGAAGGGCACTGCTCTCTCTATAATTCACGCAGGCTTCTTCAACAAGGGAGAAGCAAAGCTACTAAATAATAGGCTGGTAGACACAAGGACACTCACATGTGATGCAAAGACAAGGAGGGCAGCATAGGACAGCTCAAAGGGGTCACTCCACATAAGTCAAAATGGCCATATTATTGGTTAGGAGAGATTCAAAACAAGAGGTGCCAAAGTGGGAGTAAACATGGGGTGCAAGTCAATAATAAAGTGGAAGGGAGGCCTTGGCAGGACCAATACCTCCAACATTCTCCACCTTATTGGTCCTATGTGGTGTAGAGTAGCAATACAAAGTTGTGAGGAGACTCATCATCGCCGGATTATTACAAGTACATCATTGCGATCATACAAGTAATAGATGAGAACCAAAGTTCCCTTTCGGACCAAGCTTACCATGCAAACCCACTTCACGATGGACTGAACTCTACCAATCGGTCCTCGAGTTCAGAACCAAAACCATCACAAAACTATTAACAAGCACAACACATGTTAATAGACCACGCAAGCAAGCATCCGGGAGAAGTTGGGGATTCCAACTAATCCAACAACCACACATAACAAGCACAAAGAAAATAAAAGAAACAATATTATTTCTATAACTAGCACAGGTAGAGCTCACATAATCACTTGGTATCACATATTCAAAACACAAAGAAAATAGCATACCAAATATCACAAAGATTTTAATTAAAAGAGAATTAAGCACATTTAAAGCAAACTCAGAGAAAATATAGTCAAACACATTGCACATATAATTTCTCACATGCTTCCTAATGTCTCTATCTCTAATAACATGGCAATCACGCAACTCAAGCATATTGCACACAACATTCATATCATGCTCCACCTTAACAGAAATATTATTTTCTTTATTTTCACCATGAAAATCATTTTCATCCACGAATTTGGGTGCGGTTTCAACAAGTAAATCAGAATGAACATCAGGCAAATGCTCCACCTCATTTGGAGCAACATCAAGAGAAACAAGCAGGCAAGGAAATTCATTTTCAACAAAAATGACATTTCTACTCATCAACACATTGAAGCAAGTTTCACTCCTACGCCAAAGCCTATAACCTTTCATGCAATCATGATATCCTAAGAAAACATATTCCTTAGTCCTAGGTTCAGATTTATCATTCACACGATTCACGTAAGCAGCACAACCAAACACTCTCAAATTTGGCAAGTTAAGTGGTTTGCCCATGAACACAGATTCAGGGCATTTCCCTCCTAAGGGAACAGACGGGGACAGATTAATCAAATCAACAGCATAACAAATAGCTTCCCCCCAGAACTTATTAGAGAGCCCAGATGAAGCTAACAAAGCCCTCACCCTCTCTAATAAAGTTCTAACCATCCTCTCAGCAACCCCATCCGGTTGGGGTGTGGAGGGAACAGATTTATGCATAGAAATACCCCAAGTATCACATAAATCACCAAGCTGACTATCACAGAAATCAAAACTGACAGTGGTCCTTAAAAAATTAATTTTCTTACCGGTTTGTTTTTCAACAAGGGTTTTCCAGTTTTTAAACTTATCAAAAACTTCAGATTTATTCTCAATCAACAAAACCCACACTTTCTTTGAAAAATCATCAATCAGTGTCAGAAAATAATTTTTCCCACCATGAGTGGAAACACCATAAGGACCCCACAAGTCAGCATGAATACAATCAAGCACCTTAGTACATTTAGGCAGATCAGGAAAACCAACTCTAGACTGTTTTCCTAGCACACAGGGTTGCACACAATTCACAGAATCAAGTACGGGTTCAGCATGACAAACATACAAGTTGTTTTTCATCTCAGCTTTGAAAACAACTAAACAACCCTTCACAACTTTCATGATTCCCTTTCCCCATTTTCCCTTCAAACCATCATTTTCAAGAGATGCACAAGATAGCAAATTACAACACAGCTCAGGAACATGCCTAACATTCTTCAAAGTAAGCACATAACCAGAAGAAAACCTAAGGCACACATCTCCTATTCCTAGCACATTGCATTTCTTCTTATTTGCTAAAGACACAAAGCCATGCTCAATCTCTCTATAGTTTGAAAAAACATTTTTCAAAGGGGACATGTGAAAACTACAACCAGAATCTACCACCCAATCTGATTTACCCAAAGAATCAGATATCACAGAACTCAAATAGTCATAATCACATAGATTTGTCATCATAAAAACATCACCTAAATCATCTTCACACGTAGTCAAATTAGCATGCTCACTATGCTCATTTTTCTTAGATTTAGGGCAGTCTCTTATGAAATGACCAGATTCGTGACAATAATAGCAACGCCTCGAATTAGACCTAGACTTAGATCTATGTCGTCTACTATTATTTTCTCTACCCCTCACATGCATAACTTCCTCGGATTTTCTACCCTCACCCATCTGTTTTAAATCTAATTCCTTACTCTTAAGACCATTTACTACAATGTCAAGAGTCACATTATCTCTACCATACTTAATAGCAGATTTCACATCACTAAAGGAATCAGGAATAGCATTTAAAAGAGCAATAGGGGAATAATCATCTATATGCTTATCACCACACAACTTAATATCCGAAATAAGTTTGGTAAAAACATCTAGATTTTCTTCAATATCTATAGACATATCTAGTCTAAATTTGAAGAACTTTTCAAGTAAAAATATCCGGTTAGGCAAAGAGGTTTCGGTATACAGTTCATCTAATTTATTCCACAGAATTTTAGCACTCTCTAAAATTCCAACTTTTCTAATCACAGAGTCAGATAAGTTCAAATAAATCACAGAACATGCATTTTCATTCATTTCAGCCCTTTTATCTTCCGTGTCAGAAATTAAATAGGTTTCGCCAACTGCTTTAAAACATTTTTGTTGTATTAAAATACATTTAATTTTTTGCTTCCAAATGCTAAAATCAGATTTTCCATTAAATGGAGCCATACCATACTGATTATAAGCAGACATTTTCACAGAGAAAAATAAGCAACAAAGGAAAATGTAATTTTCGCTGAAAAACAATTTAAATATTTATAAGGCTACAACTATACGAAGCAACTAGCACGAACACGTGGGGAGTATTAATGAGCACCAAACTCAAGTTCAAACCCCTTGTTCTTCCGTATAAGCGCAAATAAATAATAAATTTTCAGCACAACACAATACAACAATTAAATCAATTTTAAAAGCAGTAGTAAACCTAAAACATAATTTCTACACAATAAAAGATTAAATCACTACAAAAGCAATAAAAGGGATAAAAGTCAATATACCGGAGCGAAACCCTAGGAGAGGCGTTTCGACCTTACCCACCCAATTCAAAAATTGGGATTTTTTCGGACTGTTGACTGCCTTTGACCTGCGTTGACCGAACTTTGACCGAGTTGACTGACTAGTTGACCAGTCTTCCCTTTGCTCCAGGTCCAGTAGCAGTCCAAAAGAACAATAAGCTCCAGCAGTCCAACAGCAAACGACAAGGTCCAAAAGCCCAACAAGCCTAGCAACTCCAGCAGGCCAATTCTAGTAGAGCAGCATCCCAGACTGAATCCAGCTCTCGTGCTCCAGGTCCAGGGTCTTCAGCGTAAGATTCACGCTAACGTCAAAGCTCCTGCTTCAAGTACTCTGGCGTCCGGGTCCGGGTATCGACAACACGCACCAGTTGCGATTGAACTACGACGAGTCCGGTGACAGCTTCTTCTACCCAGCGACGAACGAGCACAGCGACGGAATTCCCAGCCTTCCTCCTGCAACGGTTCCTAGGCAAACGGCGGCTCCAGCGATGATTTCCGGCGAGCGAAATCTTGCGGCGGCGAGCTTCCAAGCGACGGTGGCCTGCAGCGACGACGGTGGGCGGCTCTCAGGCGGCGATTCCAGCGAAACTCAGCCTCCAGCTATTGGCGCAGCAAAACCCAGGTCAAGCACAGATTTGCAACGAGCTTCAGGTACCGGCGTCCAGCGACGGCAATCTCCGGCGAACGGCTTCCTGACAGGCGGTGGCTTCAGCGGTGACTGAGACGGCGGTTTTCCTGGGTGACGATGGCTGAGCTTCCAGGCGGCTATGGCAGGGTCTGACGAAGGTGATGAACCAGCGACAACGAATGGCGGTTCAGGCAGCGGGCAACGTAGAACAACGGACCAAAACTTCGGCGGAGCTTTCAAGAGCTTCAACCGGCGACGTACGGCGGAAGACGACGGCGGTCGGCGGAGCACAGCGGTGGACGGCGGCGTAGGAAAAAATCCGGCGAAATTGACGGAGAAGTCAACACAAGCTCTGATACCACTGTTGGGAGTCGATTTCTTTCCGGCTCAGGTCTCCAACCCTTTTGCTATACTCTCACACACCACCCTAGGCTAGACCACAACACAACTCCAAGCTTCTTCTCTACCACTAAGGTATTCTCTCTCACACTCTCACACAAAGGAAATGGAGAAGAAGAAGAAGGGCACTGCTCTCTCTATAATTCACGCAGGCTTCTTCAACAAGGGAGAAGCAAAGCTACTAAATAATAGGCTGGTAGACACAAGGACACTCACATGTGATGCAAAGACAAGGAGGGCAGCATAGGACAGCTCAAAGGGGTCACTCCACATAAGTCAAAATGGCCATATTATTGGTTAGGAGAGATTCAAAACAAGAGGTGCCAAAGTGGGAGTAAACATGGGGTGCAAGTCAATAATAAAGTGGAAGGGAGGCCTTGGCAGGACCAATACCTCCAACAGACAATATATGCATGTACTATGTGTAATGACTAATGATAAATTCCAAATACGAAGAGTGATTCATATGGACTCTGTTATATGAAATAAAAAATTAAAAAAAAAGCCGTTTATAATAATGTACTTTGACGTTCAAAGTAATGCACTACCTTGCCATAAAAAGAAATTGTTTTATCATGTTTTGGTCCTACTATGGGATTTATCTTCAAGTTTTTTTTACCATAAAAACAAACTGAAGATTATTTTGGAACATACGGAGTATCAAAATAGCAAGAATGAAGATGATTATGGCCTTATGGGATGATATAGATTATATAATTCGACTCTTAAACAGGTTGTTTTAGGTTCCAATGAGCCAACATAACTCATCTTTAGTACATTGTTAATGTTTTTATTCATTTGTGATCTTCCATTCAAATTATGGCACCTCTTATATGCGACTTAAAGCACCCAAAATATTGAAGTGATACATCGTTCACTTTTAGAAGAATGATAAAAAGAATGATAATTGAATCCCCAAAAGTCTTGTCGAGATTGGGGATTCAACCTTTTGGAAGAATGATAAAAAGAATTACTACCTCCGTCCCAAATTGATTTGCAAACTTGACTTTTTTTGGTCAAACAGTTTCATATGATTCGATTAATTAAGATGTCAATTTTTAATTATATTCTAATTTGGAGTTT